AAAAAAAAAAAAAAAAGAAAAGAAAATCACTAACATCCTTATGAGAAAGAAATCTGGACACAGACACACATGCACATGTGATGACAAAGGCCACGATTCAAGTTAAGCTTCCACAAGCCAAGGAATGCCTGGAGCCATCAGAAGCTAAAAGCTGACAGAGACAGGGCTGATGACACCTTGACTTAGGATTTCTAGCATCCAGAACTGTGAGAAAATAAGTGTATCTTGTTTAAGCCACCCAGTTGGTAGTACTTTGTTACAGCAGTCTGAGAGAACTGATACAGTCACACATTTGATTTACATGTGAAAGTGGTATATTATAATCACATGATCAGATATTCAAAGTAATACATTTCAATAATACATCTAAATTAGCATTTAGTTTAATATGTTCCTGAATGGGTCTACCAAACAACATAGCCTTAATTTCTCTGTATTATTGTAACCTATAAAGAGTACTTTTAACGACCTTATATGAGTATCTTGCTGTGTACAGCACATCCATAAACAACTGATGTATAAATGTATACTCTAACAAGAATTCATACTCAAACACTGAGTTTAAAGAGAGGTGGCTCAGCTTGTAATCCCGCGCCTTTGGGAGGCTGAGGTGAGTGGATTGGCTGAGCCCACAGGTTCGAGACCCGCCTGGGCAGCGAGACCTCATCTCTACAATAAATCAAAAAATCAGCCGGGTGTGGTAGCACATGCCTGTAATTCTGGCTACTCGGAAGGCTGAGGCGGAAGGATTGCCAGAGCCCAGCAGGTCGAGGCTGCGGTGGCCGGGAGCGGCCACTGCACTCCAGTCTGGGCGACAGAGTGAGACTCCAACTCAAAAAAAAAAAAAAAAATTGATTTAGAAAACTGAATACTTACTACTTACTCAATACTTTACTTCAAAACAGTCAGGCATGAATACTATTTTACAACCTACCCAATTAGCACTGAATACTAATCTGTTTGGATTCCTGGAAACTTCACTTCTTTGTTAAATCACTAAAAAATAAGACTCTTCTTGGGCTAGATTTCCAAGTACTCCTCAGGCTATAGGATTATCACTGCAGCTTGTCTGTTTTATAAACAGACTTTAATTTAGTTTTGGAAGAAACAGCCAAAGGAGGTTTCTCTAACTAAATAACAAATCTGCTACTTGAAAGGCATCATTCATCAACCTTCTTTGTGGGAGTATTGTTATTATGAAACTAAAAACAGCCATTCTTTCTTGAGTGCTTCTGGATTTTAATTATCAAATTTTAATGTCACCAGATATTTACTGAAGAGAAAACATCAATTTTCATAAGCTACCTAAGACTGAAAAACATAAAAGGTATTCAACCCTAAAGCCAAGTTCACTTGAGTCTTGTGAGTGTGCTTACTGTCTTTAATACAGTGGTTATCATTTCCAGGAATATATAAACATTTAATAAAATCCAATCTGTGAAAAAGAAAAATGCCCCATTTTTAAAGCCCAAATATCTTGAGTGTACAATATATAATCTGACTTGGAAGAAATTAAAATAAGTTGCTATAAATTTTAATTACTAAGAAAACAGACTGAAGTGTATTAACACAGGGCTAAAAAAAAAAAAAGCAAATAAACAGTAAATAAATGGATTATATATATATATATACACACATTTTATTAAAATTTAAAAAGCTAATAGTAGAATTCATTCTAAATTACATGTGAGAAATTCTGTATTATTTTGCATTTTGAAAAAACTACCCCAGAGAGGAAAATGCTGGAAAAACCCCTTTCACTTTTCACTTAAACAAAAATCAACAAGAAAATTACATTGTATCTATAATAGTTTACTGAGCAGCAGGGGTGCAGTTAGCTAAACACATCAGGCCATAAAGTCCTTAACAGTCAAAAATTCTGCAAGCTCTCACCTGCCCACTCTAACAGACTCCCTTTGTTTCACTTAGAAAACATTTGTCTAAATAACTTTCTTGTGGCCTCTACTTTCATGGTGTGTTAAGGAAATGAGCCCCCTCATTTCCAAACCTTAGAAAAGTCTATTCACATCTCTCAGATACTTGAAATATGTATGCAAACATTCCTATCATGACTACATAAATTTTTTATTCATTTATGATAAAGCAATCTTAAAAAGATTTTCAAGTTTTCTAAAGAAAATTGTGTTTTCTACTTGGTAGATATACTTCTATGTAGGAGGATTGACTACTACTATTTTTCTTCTGAATCCAAGTTTAAAATCCTTATTTTGAAATATCAAAAATTAATGTTTTAGTTCCTCTAGTTTTCCATTGAAAAAATACCAGAATATAGACAAATATAGGAAAAATTTAACGGACAACTCAACATGTTTATAGTAAATTATAGCCTATTTTTATTTATTTAGACATAATATTTTCCACTTGAAATTTGTCCCTTGTCTTCATGAAAATCAAAATAATTGCAATTTTCACCATTAGTAAACAAAAAAGAAACAGAAAGGCTAAGTTAATTTTTTAAATGCAAAATTCTTTTTTAAATAAATATAAACCCATTCACTTTCATGCATAACTAAATATTTCATAGAATGGAAGGCATTCAATACAGTATAATTTATTTATTAAAAAAAAAACAAACCTCTCTAAGGTTAATTTTTTTGCAAATGATTCTTATAACAAAAACAATACTTTTACTAGAAACTACCACTGAATTTTAAAAATTATTTAATAGACTGACATAGTAACAAGAGTATTTAGTCTGAAACAAATGATTTTTCATTTTGTGATACTGAAATGTCTGAGATTAAAGTATTACAAATATCCCCAAAATAATTTAAAAACTGAAAAATGGCCGGGTACACTTGTAAACCCAGCTTATAATCATGCTTGTAACCCCAGCACTTTGGGAGGCTAAGGTGGGAGGATTGCTTGAGTTCAACACCAGCTTGGGCATCATAGCAAGATTCCATCACTAATAAAAAATAAAATAAAGCTAAAAACTGAAAACTGTGGGCAGGAGTCAGGAAGTCAACCGATATTTCAAAGAACACTGGGAGCAGAAGAAACAGCAAGGGCACATGAGATTTCTTGGCACCACATGCCTATACTTCATTAGACAGCACTCTTTCTTCATTTTTCTACACAATATACAGAGCTGCCTATCAGAAAATATGGTACTTAATGTGGCATTATAAACAATGCCATTAAACTGTGAGATCCAATAATTAAAACTACTACTAAAAGCCCAAATTGTA